GCCCTGCCTGGCGGACTTGGCTGCAATGGTGGGGGGACAGCCGTGAGGCGCGGACTCAGCAGTGTGGTCTCAGCTGTGCGCTTTGGGGAGTGGGTTCACACCGGGTGCCTACATGCCAGGGTGGACCTGGGCAGTGAGCTTCTGCTGGGTGGTCACCCTGACCTGACCCAGCCACTCGGGGCTCGTGGCCGTCCCACACATGCTTCTTTGAATGGATACCTGGTGTGGACATTTGAGGCGGTGGTTGAGATCCCTAGGGGTGTCCTGGGCTGCAGTGCTGTTCCACTTCCTACTCCGGCACCCCAGGGAGCTGACGGGGTGCCTGCCAGTCCTAGGGGAGCCCCTGACTCCTGCCTTGGGCCTAGCCTTGCTCACGCTGTGCTGGACATTTGACGGTGAGTGAGCCAGTGTGGAAGATAGCACTGTGTCTCTTTGCCTTTTACATAATTTTAGTTTTAAAAGATTTAGGTGTTTTTTTATCTGAAAGACTGAGTTGGAAGGAAAGACAGAGCTCACTCTTCTAAATCTTCTATCTGCTGGTTTGCCCCCAACCACATGACCCACGTGCGTGCAAGGGCATACGCTTGGGCCATCCTCCACTTCTTTTCCAGGCCATTAGCAGGGAGCGGGATTGGAAATGGAGCAGCTGGGATTCGAACTGTTACGCATCTCAGGATCTCAGGTTGAGACGTTTAACTTGCTGTTTGGTGGTTCTAGCTCGTAGTAAATTAAAAAAAAAAAAAAAGAATTATAAAGCCGTGTCAGTGTGCTTTCCCTGACTGTGAGCACAGCCACGCCCAGGGGGACACAGGGCCTGTTGGCTGGGATGCCCTGGACTTCTGCTGGGCCCTCCAGCAGCCGAGCGTCGCTGCTACTGTGACCGCCTCTGGTGTCCCCGGGCTCACCTGAGGACGCCAAGTCGCCTATGGGGGCACGTTCCTCAGGGACCCTGTGTGGCTGGCCAGGCCTGCTGGTGGGGAGCAGCAGCCGGTGTGGCCACTCAGAGGCGAGTCTTACCCAGCTCCCTCGGGTGCAGAACTGGAGCCCAGAGACCCAGGGCCAGGCTCTGGGATGACTCAAGGGCAACGAGGAAGTAGTTGGCTCCTGAACCATCGTGCCAGGCCCGAGGGGAGCAAGGTGGCGGCCGACGGAGGGGTTCAGCTCCCTTGGTGCATCCATGACAAGTTTCCCTGTCGCCTTTGCTTACCCGCCTGTCTCCTGCTGTTGTTTCGGGCACAGGTGTGCGCATCCTTGTCCCCGGGCACAGGTGTGTGCTCAGCCCAACGGGTGTGCTAGGTGAACTGCCTGTGGGGAGCCAGGACTGTTCTCTGCTCAGGGCTGTGATAGGTCTCAGAGTTGTGAGTTGCAAGTGGGTCAGCCCTTGGTGGCAGTGGCAGGACGTGGACTTGAGAGCCGCTGAGCTGGGTGATTGTGTGTGTGTGAGTGTGTGGTGGGCAGGGGGCAGCAGCACAGCCCAGCTGGGACGGTGTGCCCACGCATGGCAGCTGTAGCTGGGGAGTGATACATTGGAACAGTTCTGATCTGTTCAAGCCTGGGAAGGGCCAGCACTGGCAGTGGCACTGGCGGTGGTGGGGAGGGCACAGGAGGTGGGAGGTGGCTAGGTTCATCAGTGGTGGTGCTGGCACTGGCGGTGGCATTGGCAGTGGTGGGGAGGGCACAGGAGGTGGGAGGTGGCTAGGTTCATCAGTGGTGGTGCTGGCACTGGCGGTGGCATTGGCAGTGGTGGGGAGGGCACAGGAGGTGGGAGGTGGCCAGGTTCATCTTCTGTCCAAATCCTTTGGCACAATCAAAAGTTGTTTGAAACTGGGAGTTGAGTGCACAGGCAGGGCCTGGGAGACTCCTGGAGTACAGGGGTTCCGAATGGAGTGACCTGGCCAGTGGGGCGAGGGGCCACAGTGACCGGGCCTGTTGACCTTTCTTGGGGGCTGGGCCACGGAGACCAACATTACATACTGTATGGGGGGCGTGATATGGTCACTGGCTGCCTGTGAAGGTGAGGGGCATGAGCTTGCCATAGGCTCTGCCAGGCTGAAGGGTGAGGAAACGACTGCCCAGAGGAGGCAGCCTGGCCCCAGGCCTGGGTCTGGCCTGCCAGCTGGAGCCCACACAGCTGGCCTGTGGGCCCTTCCTCCCCCAGTGTGTTGGGACTGCCAGCTGTGCTGATCTAGTGGCATAGCAGGAGCGGTTGGGACGCCAGGGAGTCCTGCCAGGTACCCTTGGCCTCTTGCCCTCAGTGGAAGGTGGCCAGAGAGGAGGGGCAGGTGCCTCTGGGCAGGTTGTGCCTGGCAAGCCCTGCCCTCAGGCCTTGTGGTGGCAGAGATGGGCGTGTCCCAACACATGAATGGAGGGACTGGCACAAGCCAGGCCAAGCTGGCAAAGCACAGGGCAGCTGCCTTCTTGGGGCCCCTGGGCCTACAGTGTTGGGCTGGCTAGGGCCAGGTGAGCAGGGCAGCCAGACTGCCCCACACTGCAGCTCGGGACACAGAGACGGGCCGGTGAGCCGCTGACCAGGTTTTTATTATTAAGGGCTCAGCTGGCACACTGGGCAGGTCATTGGAGGAAGGCAGAGGGACACTGGCCCTGGGTTTGGCTGGCAGCTGCTGTTACTCACGCTGTTTTGAGGGCCACCCTCTACTGCTATTAAATTATGGTCATGCTCCAGCATGTGCAGAGTCACGTGCCACGCCCTTGTTGGTAACTGTGAAGTGACAAGAGGCGCCTGGGTGGCTTGGCAGAGTACCGGGCCAGGGCAGCGTGGGTGGACATGGCGTCTCGGCAGGACGTGCACGAGGGACGGGATGCAGGGGCGGGGCTGCATAGGTGGACATGGGCACCTTTGGGCAGGACATTTGCAAGGGCCAGTGGGTATGTGGCTGGGGCCGTGTCGATGGACACAGCTGCCTTGGGAACAGGACGTGTACCAGAACCAGGGATGCAAGAGCTGGGCAGCGTGGGTGGACATGGGCACCTCCGGGCAGGGTGTGCTTAAGAGGCAGGTGACCAGCAGCTGTGGGGGGTGGTGCGTGTGGGAGCATTTGCACCCTTTGCAGGCATGCAGATGGAACTGCCATGCAAGGGCGCCCAGTTGTGTGTGTGCGTGAGACCAGCACAGCATTCCAGGCAGGCCTGAGGAGGTGGTATCTTCTGTTCAGAGCTTAGCAAGTGTGCTGGGGGTGGCGCTGTACCCCATGGGTACAGAGAAAGTTCTGTGTGTCGCTTCTCGTGGGTGGGGGTGTGGGTGCTGTCACATACCTCCCTGTGAGCTACCAGATTTTCTAATTGAAAACACGCAGGACAGAAGGGTCTTGCTGTTGGAGAGTGTGGTGCTGCCTGGGGCCTCATCCTACCACACACACCCTGGCCCACTGTGCCCTTCCTGCCCTGCTGGGCTGGCCTGCAGTACCCACATCTCTGCCACCCCTGCCACTGTGCCATTTACAAGGAGGGCGAGGCGAGGTGAGCCAGGTGGGGGCCTGGGCAGGAGGGGCTATCCTGAGCCCTCACAGACCTGTATCCCGTGTTTGCAGCGCTGGTCATAGCAGCCCCTGTTGGCCGCTGTCTCTGTTGGATTTCCCGCCCCAGACTGGAGGACACCGAGCGTGAATGTGGCTTCCTCATGTGTTGCCCTTTCTTATGTGTTTACGCAGAGGAAACACTTTGTAAAGGGCCCTTAGGAACCTCTGACCTGGTGTGGGTGATGGAGGCGGGGCAGGGCCTGGCCTGGTGTGGCCGATGGAGGTGGGGTGGGCGTGGTGCAGGTGATGGAGGAGGGGAGGGGCCTGGTGTGAGTGATGGAGGCAGGGCCTTACGTGGGAGATGGAGGCAGGGCCTGACTTGGTGTGGGTGATGGAGGTGGGGCGGGACTCAATGTGGGTGATGGAGGCGGGGCGGGACCCAATGTGGGTGATGGAGGAAGGGCCTGGTGTGAGCTCAAGCCTTGGGCAGCCACAGGGGCCATGTCATTTTTCAGTCACTCTGGATACTGTTTCCAGGTGTCTGGGGAGACTTGGCAGAGGGGTCCACGCTGTCCCCACACACTCCTGGAGAAAGGTCAGGTGCTGGAGGTGGCAGGTGCAGTCCTTGCCCGTGGGGAAAGGGGTGTGGCCGGCTGTCTAAGGAGAAGCCCCCTGGGAGAGGGTGTGGCTGGCCGGCCAGAGTGGTGCAGACCTGGTGGGCAGGCCTGGATTTTCCTGTTAATATTTTTGATGGATTTCAGAGAGAGAAATAGTACTCCCATGTGCTGGTTCATTTCCCAGATGCCTCTCCCACAAGGGTTTGGTCAGGCCAGTGCCAGGAGCCAGGAATTCCATCTGCGTCATGGGTGGCAGGAATGTGGTGCCTCCAGCTGTCCCTGCTGCCTCGCAGGGTGCTTGTTTGCAGGAAGCTGGAGTCGGGAACGTAAGCCCCAGGTGCCCTGCCGCCTCCCGTGCTCACCCCACGATGGTACTCTTTTTTTCTTCTCTTTGGTGTTTTGTCTTACTCGTTCAGTGCTTTGTAGGAGCACTAGGAAGATGCAGTCACACATCAGGTGGGAGTGGGGCACCGGCGCAGTCCCAGGGGCCATGAGGGAGGGCCAGGCAGGGAGGCTGAGCTCCAGGGCGGGGTGAGCCGCTGCAGGTGCCTCGCAGCCCCTGGGACAGCCAGGCAGGTGGGGTCCCAGAGCAAGACCCCACCCTGTGAGCACCCACCCTTTAGGGTTCTGTGGGTGGGGGGTGCTCTTGGGAAGGCTGTTAGTTCTGCAGAGCAGTGCCCACAGGTGCACCTGGGGCCCTGGTGCTGCATGCTGGTGCAGGGTCAGCCCTGAAGGTCGGGGCTCTGGCCAGTGTGGCAGGAGGCTGCAGGGTCTTCCCTGTGTCCGGCAGGGTCAGGGCCTGGGACCCTGGCTTGGAGATGGGGCCCTTGGCAGTGACCGGTGGTCAGGGAGGTTGGCAGTGCCTGGATGCTGCTCCCCGCTGTCACGTGTCTGCTTTTCTCGCCAGGTAACCCCTAAAGATGGCAGAGGCTCATCAGGCCGTGGCCTTCCAGTTCACGGTCACCCCAGACGGCATCGACCTGCGGCTGAGCCATGAGGCCCTGAAGCAGATCTGCCTCTCCGGGCTGCACTCCTGGAAGAAGAAGTTCATCCGGTTCAAGGTACGGCTGCTTCGGGCCACACCCAGGTCCCCTGGGTCCTGGGCCCTTGGGTGCCACGGAAGCCAGGGAGTCCCAGAGCACCCCCTGGGTCCCTGGGACTTAAGCCTAGGGAATGCCCTCACATGTACTCTGGCTGACTGTATTCAAGATTCTTTACACCTTGGAAAGACTTTCTAATAACTTAAAATTTTAAAATATTTTTAAAAGATTTACTTGTTCTTAGAAGTCAGAGTTGGAGAGAGAGAGAGAGATCTTCCACCTGCTGGTTCATTCCCCAGATGGCTCTAGTGGCCACGACGGGGCCAGGCTGGAGCCAGGAGCTTCCCCCGGTCTCCAATGTGGGTGACAGGGGCCCAAGGACTGGGGCCCTCGTCTGCTGCTTTCCCAGGCTGTCAGCAGGGAGCTAGAAGAGAAGGGAACATTTGGGGTTCAAAGCTGGCATCTGGGCCTGGTACGGTGGCCTGGCAGCTCAAGTCCTCGCCTTGCATGAGCCAGGATCCCATATGGGCACCGGTTCTAATCCAGGCAGCTCCACTTCCCATCCAGCTCCTTGTTTGTGGCCTGGGAAAGTAGTTGAAGACGGCCCAAGGCCTTGGGACCCTGCACCCGTGCGGGAGACCCAGAGGAGGTTCATGATTCCTGGCTTAAAACTGGCTCAGCTCCAGCCGTTGCAGAAACGTGGGAAGTGAATCATCAGACAGAAGATCTTTCTTTCTGTCTCTCCTTCTCTCTGTGTATCTGACTTTGCTTTAAAAATAAATAAATCTTTAAACAAACAAACAAACAAACAAACACACAAAAAGCTAGCATCTCTGTGGGACGCTGGCATTACCAGCGGCAGCTTTACCGGTCATGCCACTTTTCCAGCCCCTTAAACACATTTTCTGATTTAATTTTTTTAAATAACTTTTTAAGATTGTTAATAAGCTGCCTTGCTGCACACTGAGAACTGGCCCTGCGCGTTGTGGTCCAGCTCCCCACACATGCGCAGTCCCACTTCTCCATCAGGTACAACCTCATCTTCCATTGACTGAAACCATTGTAAAGGTAATCGGATTCCAGCAGGTGGAGGTTCCTCTCCCTGCCCCCGGAGAAGCTGTTTATAGACTGGGGGTTCCCTGGGTCCCCCGTCCCAGGGAGTTCCCCATGTGTCACTGTAGGTGATGGGCAAGTGTCCAAGAGCAAGTGCTGTGCCCGGGAAGCGTGGGCTGGCAGAACAAAGCCTGACTGTGCTTACATCCACTGCTTCTCTCTGGCTTCTTCTGTTGAACGGAGGGTGCGTCCCCATAGAGAGAGCCCGGAGCCAAGTTTACCAACCCCAGGGAGTGGGGGCTGGCGCTGGGTGCAGTGGGCCGGGCACTGCTGGCGTTCCTCTGTCAGCACGCCCGCCCTGCGTTTGAGGCTTGCAGAGGTGGATGAAGCACAGGGGCTTGGCTGTGGCCCAGGTGGGCTGCTGCGGGCTCTGGGCAGGGCTGGGAGGGGTGGTGTGGCAGTGGGCCCACAGAGGGGAGGGTCTTTTTGTTTGCTTCTCTTTCTAGCTTCCTGTTTGAGAATCTCATCGAATCCCAGAGAAACCTCTGATTTTCAAGGCCTGCAGCTGCCCACCTGGGACCTGCTGCAGCTGGCACAGCTAATACAGAGCCCTAACCATCTGCCCTGCGGTTCGTTAGGAAGCTCGCCATTTCCCAGAGGGAACCCTGCCAGACAGACCTGCTGTCTCCAGGGCCTTGTCATGGTTGCTAAAGGAGTAGGGAGGCCCTGCGGGAAGAGAGTCTTTTTTTTTTTTTTCTGGAACTTTCCTCCCTGCCTGTTTGTTTTTTTAAATGAATTAATTTGTTTTATCCAGAATTGGAAGCCCCATGGGCAGGTATATGGGGGTACCAAGGTTGGCTCATATATTCAACACAGCCTTGATGACGTGCACAGGCAGGAGTGCATCCCCTGGCATGGGCAACAGACACGTGAAGGGAAAGGTGTAGTGTTGGTAGTGAGGTGGCGATGGAAGCGTCTTATTCACACACAGAGACATTTACACAGGTGTGTCACTGGCACGGATCGGGCGCCAGTCTGATGGGAGGCTGGAGGCTTTTTTTTTTTTGAAGATTCATTTTTTTTCTTTGGAAAGTCAGATTTACAGAGAGCAGGAGAGACAGAGAGGAAGATCTTCCATCCGATGATTCACTCCCTAAGCAGCCCCAATGGCCAGAGCTGAGCTAATCCAAAGCCAGGAGCCAGGAGCCTCTTCCGGGTATCCCACACGGGTGCAGGGTCCCAAGGCTTTGGGCCGTCCTCCGCTGCTTTCCCAGGCCACAGACAGGGAGCTGGATGGGAAGTGGAGCTGCCAGGATTAGAACCGGTGCCCATATGGGATCCTGGCTCATGCAAGGCGAGGCTTTTAGCTGCTAGGCCACACTGCCAGGCCTGAGCTGGAGTTTTTTATGGACTTGAGCGTGAGTCTTTGTTTTTCTTCCCTTCCTGCCTTCTTCAGGACATCACTGGGTCTGGGGTTTATGGATATGAAAAGCCCCCAGGACCTCCTTCTTCAGCTTGAGGGGCCTCCCAGCCCTTGTGGCGTGGGGCAGGGGGCTGACGCCGGGGGACAGGACAGGGGGCTGACATGGGGGGGACAGGGGTGTGGCATGGGCCGGGGATGGCAGGTGTCCTCACTGCTCTGCTTGCCCCACCTGTTTCCTGGCTCCAGCACACACTTGCTGCCTTTTTTTTTTTTGTCCTCTGCCCCTGTGTCAGGCGGCTGCCTTGCCAGCTTCACCTTGCCAGCTTCACCGTCTCCATGGTGGGCTACCCAGTGCTCTGTCAGCAACGTTGTACCGCTTTTGTTTCAGAGAAACCTTCTCTTTTGGAATGTTTTCCATAAATTCTTTCATAAAAGAATTAAAATGTATTTCAACTATCCAAAAGGCGCAGAGAGGGAGAGAGATCTTCCGTCTGCTGGCCCACTGCCCAAATGCCTGCTGCGGGCAGAACGGGGCAAGGCAGAAACCAGGCAGCTCGGCTCAGCCTCAGTGCCTCCAGCGTGTGGCACAGGCCTTGTCACGGGGGCCCTCGCTAACTGCCACCCAGAGCATGCGTGCGTAGGAACGGGGGCCTGGCTCAGGCACCCCAATGTGAGATGTGGGTATTCCAAGTGGCATTTTTTTTAAAAAAAGGTTTATTGTATTTATTTGAAAGAGTGCAGAGAGAGGAGAGAAAGAGAAGGTCTTGCGTCTGCTGGTACACTCTCCCAACGACCACACAGCTGGAGCAGGGGCAGGCTGAAGCCGGGGCCCAGGGACTGTGGGTGTTCCCGGTGGGTGAGGAGGCCCAGGCTCCTGGCCGTCCTCTGCTGGATTCCCAGACGCGTCGGCAGGGAGCTGGATCATAAGTGGAGCGGCTCAGGCCCGGGTGTACAGGAGTCCCGCCCCGGTCTCCTCTGGGTGGCAGGACCCCAGTCACTGGAGAATTGCTGCTGCCCGCAGGCCCATGTTAGCAAGAGGCTAGAGTCGGGAGCCTGAGGTGGCAGCGGACCGGGGCACACTGTGTGCAGACTCGGACGCCTGAAGCACTGGACCAAGTGCTGTGCCCTCCTGCGGGTTCTCAGCTTGGAGAGGGGTCTCCTGTGAGCGTGTTAGGGTTCACCGGGGTCTCCTTGATCAGGAATGAGAGGGGGGCTACGGGGGGAGCCCAGGTCTCAGGGCGTGCTCCGCCTAACAGGCCTGGGAGAGGACTTGGCCGAGACATAGGCGCACTTTCCTGCAGTGGGGTCAGGGTCCACGCGGGGGAGCTCAGGAAGCTGTTGACCCCCACGTGGCTGACTGTAACGTCCCGGGGAGACTGTCACAGGGAGGGCTTTGGCTCAGAGCAAGGGACAGAGCAGATGTGGCTGGCACGGCTGCAGCCTGGGCCTCAGGAGAGGATTTCCAGCAGGTGAGAGTGGGGCTCCCTGAGCTCCCCAAGTGCCTGATGTCGCAGCCACTCAGTCACTAGGGACATGGGGATTGTATCCCCAGTGGGGTTCTTGGGGGGCGGAATATGATGCAGCTCACAGCTCCCCTGTCTGGTTCTAGAATGGCATCATCACGGGGGTGTTCCCGGCGAGCCCCTCCAGCTGGTTCATCGTGGTGGTGGGCGTCATGTCATCCATGTACGGCAAGGTGGATCCCTCGTTGGGGATCATCGCGAAGATCAGCCGGACCCTCGGCAGCACGTGAGTAGGCCTGACAGATCTCCCAGCGTCTTGGCTGTGGCTCTTCTTGATGTTTTTAAAGCTGTTCAAATAGAACGCCTTTCACTGTTCTGGATTCCATTGGAAGCATTTGCCATTCTCCTGTCTGCTTTCTTCTCACTTCCTGCACCTGTCAGTGGTGTTGAAGGTTCCCTGGGAGTTGGCAGTCCTTCGTGGCCCTTCCTCCCTGAGTATGACAATAGGGACAGGCCAGGGCACCTGCTAGAAAGCGTCAGGGACCTAGGTGGTAGCTGGCAGTGCAGGGTTCCAGAAAGGACCAGGGTGACCCCTGACATGGCCTTCTTTTGCTCCATTCTGGGACCCCTGAGCCCACTGCTGGGGAGTGAACACCGGCCCCTGCCTGGTTCCTTTTGAGTGGTCTAGGACCCCCAGGGAACCCACAGTTCTAGAGGCCTGAGGGGCCTTTGGGGAAGTTAGTGGCTCCCAGTTGGGACCAGGTCCTAGGCCTCAGCTGGGCTCCACTGGGCATGCTCCTGAGGGCAGCTCGGTCATGTCCAGCACCCGTTTCCTGAGCTTCCCTGCTGTCCTGGTGGCCTGCCCTGCAGGAGCTGGCCCTGTCATCCTGCTGGGCTCTCAGGGCCAGCCCTGGGCCATGCGGCCTCATGGGGTTCTTGCCGGTGCCCATGAATAAGCTTCAGAGAGGGATTGGCAGGGAGCATGGAGGGAGGAATGGAAAGCTGTGCCAGCCTTGGGCTCAGTGCTGGCCTCCACGGGCACCGAGCCTCCCCCAAAGGCCTGCCCGACACCGGGGCAGTGCCAGCTCCAGGCTCATGCTGGCCTCCACGGGCACCGAGTCTCCCCCGAGGGCCTGCCTGACACCGGGGCAGCGCCCACACTGTTGCCAGCCTGACAGTTGACTCCAGGGCCTCAGGGACCTGGCGCTCCCTGTCTGCTGGCTGGGCAGCTCCCAGGACTCCAGCAGCAGCCCACAGTTCCCAAGCAGGCTGGGCAGCTCCAGCCTTGCAGCACTGGTTCACACGGACGGCCACCGAAGGGCTGTGCCGCGGGGTCCGTGTCCTGGCCCCGGGCAGTGCGGGGTCTGAACTGAGCTGAAGGAGTGAAGCCGTAACTGTTCTGCATCCTTCTGCCCTCGTTCTGTTAAGCATTGTTCCATCCGAAAGGAACAGGAAGCAGTTAGCCGAAGTGGGTGACACCCTCGGCCAAGGGCAAATTTGGTTCTGATAACAGAAAATAAACCATTTCAGCGGACTGCCCTTGCCGTGAATATTATGGCTGCCGCTTGTGCAGGGGGCCCATCTTTCTGAGGGGGTCTCCTGAGGAGTCCCCCACGCCCTGCTCCTTCTGCAGGGGGCCTCTGCTCTGAGTCACCCACAGAGGGGCTCTGGCCCTCAAGCTCAGCCCGCACAGCAGGGTCATTCTGTTGTGTGTGTCTGCAGGTGACAGAACCGGAGTGTCCTGCTTTTGTGGCAGCGTGCCTGGCCTGGCCACCTGGACGCTGGGGCAGCTGTGGGCGGGATTCCTGTCTTCCTGCGTGTGACACAGCACCTGGCGGCTCCAGGCGCTCTGGGCCCGGCTGCCTGCCAGCTGCCTTTCGGCTGGGAGCCGGGCAGCCCACCTTGTGCCGAGGGCTCTCACTGGGCCCGGGGTGTTGCGTGGTTAACCGCCAGGTTTATTTGGCTCCCCAGTGAGGGCCGTCTCCTAAAAGTGGATCATGTTGAGGAGTGACAGCTATTTAAAGCCCAGTATAATCTTCCTCTTTCTGGGCCACCTGGGGGATTAAGAAAAGGCCAGTTTAGGGGTCAGCATCTTGCAGGCTAGGCTGGTCCCAAGCTGTCGTTGGGAGAGGAACATTCCGAAGTGAGATTTGTCTTTGCAGTGTGGGGTTTTTTCGCTGTCCGGTCCAAGCTTTGGACTTTGGTTCCAAGTGGCTGCTCGTGTATAAACACTATCCTGAATGAATCACTCGCTGTTTGAACAGGAATATTGAGTAACCACAGATGTCTTCCTCCCCTGCCATATGTGACCAGTTCATCGCAAGGGCAGCTCACCCAGAAGGTCACTGCCCAGGTGCTTGAAGCCAAGGCTGCTCCTACGTTATAACGGTCAGAAGGTGACAGAGTCAGAGTACAGTGCAGGCCGAGTGCTGGGCTCGCCAGGCCACAGGAGAGTGTAAAATTGAACGCGCGTGGGCCTAGCAAAGAGCCTAGTGGCTAAATCCTCACCTTGCATGTGCCAGGATCCCATATGGCACCAGTTCATGTCCTGGCTGCTCCACTTCCCATCCAGCTCCCTGCTTGTGGCTGGGAAAGCAGTGGAGGACGGCCCAAAGCCTTGGGACCCTGCACCCGCGTGGGAGACCCGGAAGAGGCTCCTGGTGTTGGCTTCGGATCGGCTCAGCTCCAGCTGTTGAGGCCACTGGGGAGTGAACCATCGGATGAGAGGTCTTCCTCTCTGTCTCTGCTTCACTCAGTGTATCTGCCTTTCCAATTAAAAAAGAAAATCAGAAGCATGTGTTCATAGGTTGAAATTGGGATGGTGCTCAAACAATTATGAAAAAATGGAGTTGAAAGATAAATTTATGTTGATACCCAAAATGAAAAAAAATATGTGCAGGAGTTTTTCATAATATGCATGTCCAAGGATATTTTTTTTAAAAAGATTTATCCACTTTCATTGAAAAGTCAGATTTACAGCGAGAAGGAGAGACAGAGAGATTCTCCATCTGCTGGTTCACTCCCAGAGTGGCCACAGCTGGAACTAAGTCGACAGGAAGCCAGGAGCTTCTTCTGGGTCTGCCAAGCCATTAGCAGGGAGAGGGATGAGAAACAGTGGAGCCAGGATTTGAACCGGCACGCCTATGGGATACTGGCATCACAAGCAGTGGCTTTGCTTGCTATGCTGCAATACTGGCTCCCAAAGCCGACTTTTAATTCTGATTTCCATGAAAGTTTGGCAGTGCCTTGTTCTTTCTTTTCTTTCTTTTCTTTTCTTTCCTTTTCTTTTTTTTTTTTTAACATTTATTTATCTTTATTGCAAAATCAAATATACAGAGAGGAGGAGAGACAGAGAGGAAGATCTTCCGTATGATGGTTCATTCCCCAAGTGACCGCAACGGCTAGAGCTGAACCAATTCGAAGCCAGGAGCCAGGAGTTCTTCCGGGTCTCCCACACAGGTGCAGGGTCCCAAGGCTTTGGGCCGTCCTCCACTGCTTTCCCAGGCCACAGGCAGGGAGCTGGAGGGAAGTGGAGCTGCCTGGATTAGAACCAGTGCCCACATGGGATCCTGGCTCATGCAAGGCGAGGCCTTTAGCTGCTAGGCCACTGCGCCGGGCCCAGTACCTTGATTTTTAAAGCTCTGGAGGGGCCTTTAGCTCACAGAAGTGGGTTGTTTTAATCATTTGAAGAATACTTAAGTAGTTTTAACCATTTCAATATTGTGAGGTTTTAAGAATGACTGCAGATTAAAAACAAAAGCACAAAATAGCTTTATTTTGTCTCATTTTAAAGTCAGTCTTTGCCCTAAAACTGTGCTGCTTCCCTTCCCTGGCAAGGGCACGTTCTGTTTGGAGTTTCCATCACTCATCCGGGATCCGCTTACCTCTCACACATTCATCGAACAGCACCAATTTTGCTGTTGTTTTTTGTTTTTACAAATACGCTCCGCGGGCCACAGACGGGCTCTCGGGGTGTAAGCGTGGAGCCGTCATTGTGGCTAGCGAGTCGAGCTTGGACTCCTGGGAAAACTGCAGGCAGCTTTGAGGAGAGAAGCTGGAGTGTGTGGGTGCTGAGAGCCCGAGCCACCGCACACCCCTGCGCGGAGTGTCCCCAGGGCTGTGCAGGTCTCAGCTGCACCGTGGCCCCCAAGCTGCACGTCCCCGACCCTGAGAGGCCCATGTGTGCACCCAGCTGTCACGTGTGCACCACGTCATGTCTGAGGCCCTGGGCTGGTGCACGCGAGGCAGCTGCGAGGGGGCTTGGCTCTCACACCGCGGCACCGCAGCCCCCGACCCCAGCCCTGGCCAGCTCAGGAGTGGGTGTGGCTCCCACGCAGCCGCGGCAGCCGCTTGGTCCCGGCCCCGGCTCAGGAGTGGACGTGGCTCTCCTTCCTCCCCAGGGGCTACATGTCCAGCCGGACACAGAACGTGGTCAGCGGCGTGCTTTTCGGCACGGGCCTCTGGGTGACCCTCATTGTCGCCATGCGCTACTCCCTGAAGGTGCTGCTCTCCTACCACGGCTGGATGTTCGCCGAGCACGGCAAGATGGGCCGTGCCACCAGGATCTGGATGGTGAGGGGGTCTTGCTCGGGAGGAGCTGGGTGGGCGGGTCTGCGGGTCAAACAATGTTTGATGGACAGCAGCTTCAGCGTATGGGAGTGCTTCTTCAAGGGGGAAGAAGGCATGACACTTTGGCCTTGGAGTTAGGACGCCTCCTGGGATCTGCCACATTCTGCATGGCCGCCCCTGGATCCTGTGTCATGTCAGTACTGTGAGGGACACGTGTGAGGTGGCAGTGATGGCTCCTGAAGCCCTGCTCCAAGTGGAGTGTCCAGCTCCTGGTGTCCTTGTGACCTTGCCCTGGCTGTCGGGGTCCCTGGGGCAATCTCCTCTCTCAATGTCTCTCACATACTGAAAATGTCTCGGGGGGAGGGGGCATGGCTAGGATTGTCAAGCCACCTTTTTCTTCCTTCTCTTTTTTATTTTATGATTTCTTTATTTTTTATTGGGAAGAGTAGATATACAGAGAGGAGAGAGATACAAAGATCTGCTGGTTCATTCCCCAAGTGGCTGCAATGCCCAAGCTGGGCTGGTCTGAAGCCAGGAGCCAGGAGCTTCTTCCAGGTCTCCCATGCGGATGCAGGGTCCCAAGGCTTTGGGCCGTCCTCCACTGCTTTCCCAGGCCACAAACAGGGAGCTGGATGGGAAGTGGAGCAGTTGGGATATGAACCTGTGACCATATGGGATTCCAGCATGTTCAAGCCAAGGACTTTAGCCACTAGGCTACTGTCAGGCCCGAGCTGCCATTTCAATGCTGACGTACCGTCGTGGAGTGCCAATTCAAGTCCTGGTGCTCCACGTCTTATGCAGCTCACTGCTGATGCACCTGGGCATGCCGCAGAAGACAGCCCAAGTTCCTGGGCCCCTGCTTCCCTCCCGGGGACCTGGGGTTGGCTTGGGTGAACAGCAGGTTACACACAGTGGGCGCCCGGACCTCGCCTCGCCTTGACACGGCACCCCTCTTCCCGCAGGGCATGGTGAAGATCTTCTCGGGCCGGAAGCCCATGTTGTACAGTTTCCAGACCTCGCTGCCTCGCCTGCCCGTGCCGGCCGTGAAGGACACCACGCAGCGGGTAGGCCTGCCGCACCCTCCAGCCTCACGCGCAGCTCCTCTTCACGGAGGAGCTGCCGCCCTGCGTCCTGCGTTCTGTCCTCGTGTCCGTCCTTAGCAGCGACCCGTTTAGGATGTTTCTCCCGTGTCTTCGGAGAAGGTCTTGATTCCTAGACAGAAAGCTGCTTTTGCAGCTTTTTGCGTTGCAGGATTCCCGCCCTGGAACACAGAGCCGTTGGCTGTTGGCTACGGGCGGTACTGGTTCCCAGGAGGCTGACGTTTGGTGCCGTGGAAGGACAGTGGGGGCCCTGTCTCTGAGGGGATTAATGAACCTCCTCCCTGGAACCCCAGGCACCCTCAGGCTTCCTGTCTGGGACAGCCCCCCGCAGGGTAGTTAGAGCAAACAGACCTGCACTTCCAACCCCCTCCACAGCTGGAAGCAGCAGCCCTTGCACAGTCAATCCTCCTCCTTTCCCTCCTCCTGCTTCTCCCGCCAGCTCTCGGGTCGGTTCAGCTTCCTGTCTCTGCAAGCTTGCCTGTCTCAGGGGCCTCCTGTGAGCGGTCCCTGACGGCGGCAGCCGCTCGGTGGGCAGGCCTCTGCAGGGTACCTGTGTCGTGTGCGACATGGGTCGGGATGCCTTCCTTTTATTCACAGATAGTGTTGTACAGATAAAACGCATTTTGTGGTATCCATTTCTGGAGGGGACAAGGTTTTGCTTTGTCTGTTTTAAAGATTTCTTTATTTTTTATTGGGAAGGCAGATTTACAGAAAGAAGGAGAGACAGAAAGATCTTCCATGCACTCATCCACTCCCCAAATGGCCACAATGGTCAGAGCTGAGCTGATCCGAAGCCTGGACCCAGGAGCCTCCTCTAGGCGCCCCATGCGGGTGCAGGTCCCAAGGCTGGGCTGTTCTCGACTGCTTTCCCAGGCCACAGCAGGGAGCTGGATGGGAAGTGGAGCAGCTAGGACACAAACTGACGCCCATGTGGGGGTGCCGGTGCTTAGAGGTGGGGGATTGGCCTGGTGAGCCAGCATGCCGGCCCAAAGGGGCAGTGGTTTGGAGCCTGCTGGTAAGGGCACCAAGTGGCCACAAGTGCCCCTCTGCTGACTTAGGACCCCACACCTGGGCCCGATGAAGCTTTCCCGTCCAGATTGCCCTCCTCGCAGCCATGGGCAGCCCACAGCTCCCCCTTGTCCTTCCCGGCGTCCTGGGTAATGGGAGCGCGTGGCAGGCTGTTCTCCGGGCCTGCTCTCTGACTTAGCTACACGGGGAGGCTCCTGTGCATGCTGGCTTCCCTCAACTCCGTCCCTGTTTTGCTACATAGTACTCCATGGAGTGGACACAGCACTGCCCACCGTCCGCCATCCGGCAGCTCTTCCTCTGAGGTTCCCATGAGGAGCAGTGGCACGGGCATCCACCTCCTGGGCACCCTGGGCACCGGCTGTCAGTCCTGGGCAGGCACTCCCTCCTCCGCGGGAGGCTGGCTCCCGAGGGAGTCTGGGCTTCCTCTCCCTTGGTGAGGACATCGTGACATTGAGCCAGCCACGGATCAGGGTCCAGGTCTTCTACAGTCCGAGGCCCCGCTGGATAATGTAAACATTTTTTAAAATTTATTTTCCTCTTTTATGTTGTATTTCCCCTTTTTATTTGAAAGGCAGGCAGAGAAAAATCTACAAATACCCACCACGGCCAGCAGGGCCGGACACCGCCAGGAGCCAGCAGCCCCATGCAGGCCTCCCAGCCCTAAGTACGCTGGCTGTCTTCCAGCTGCTTTCCCAGGCACACTAGAGGGCTCTGGGTCAGAAGCGGAGCAGCCAGGACCCGAACGAGGGCTGAGATCAGAGATGCCTGTGGCTTAGTCTTTGGCCACAATGCCAACTCCACATTGCAGGCCTTGACGTGGCGTTTTCTGTTCGCTCCAGTACCTGGAATCCGTGAGGCCCCTTATGAAGGAAGGAGACTTTGAACGGATGACGGCGCTTGCTCAAGATTTTGCTGTCACGCTGGGACCCAAACTGCAGTGGTATTTGAAGCTGAAGTCCTGGTGGGCCACAAATTATGTAAGTGTGTACCTGTTGACCACCTGCTTGGGACCTTTTCTGGACTGTCCGTGTAGATGCTGCCGTGCCTGCCACACGGCGCTCACGGGGCTTCTCCGTGCTCCTTTGTCTGCACCCGCTAGGTGAGTGACTGGTGGGAGGAATACGTCTACCTGCGCGGGCGCGGGCCGCTCATGGTGAACAGCAACTACTACGCGATGGTGAGTCTGTCGGACGGGGTCAGCTGCCCAGTGGAGGCTTCCTGGGATGGCTCTGGGGAGCGATGTGACCCCTGTCCCTCCTGGTCCTGCGGCCACAGCTCCAGCTTCCTAATCCTGTGCGGGAGCCCGGCTGCTTCCCGCCTGAGGACGTGGATCGTCCCTGTGTTTCCGTGGGTGCTCACGGGTGCTGAGCTGCTGCAGGGGAAGCTGAGGGACAGGCACGGCTCTGTGGGCGCTGGGAGCTCCTCGCCGTGGGCATCCCAGTCCTGCTGCTTACAGCACCCAGTGCTCCAGCAACCTGGCAGTTCCTATCCCCCTAGAGCAAGGGGGCAGGGCTGGCCAGGACATGTGCCCCTCTGAGCTCGGCCCCTCGCTGCTAAGTCACGGAGGGGCGTGCGTCTCCCATGCCTCAACCTCCTTGTCTGACGCATGGCAGTGGGGGTGCTCAGCCCTGTGTAGTGACAGCTCGTGTGACTCCTGGCACCTGCTCTCTTGTCTTCACTTCTCTCTTTGTTCCCCTGTTTCCATCAGTTCCTTTTCCCTTCCCTGTTGCTCCATTTCAGAATTTTGCTTTTCAATTCCATTTTTCCATCTGAGAGTCACAGACTGGGAGACCCGTGTCCAGGGGACCCAGAGCCGATTCCCTGCACTAATGGGTAGTGAGTTGCGCCTGTGGGGCCCTTCCCCTCCTGGGGTCTTACGTTTGTTCCCCAGGAAGAGGCGTGCTTCCCTCCCTCACTGGAGGCACGCCGTGCACATGGACCACCCCTGCCTTTGGAAGGGCAGAGAGACAGGCCTCCATCCCCTGGGCACTCCCCTCGCGCCCACAGCAGGTGTGCAGGACCCGGCCTGCTCCCTCAGACTCCCGGGAGGTGACCTGTAGCCACCGCCTGCTGCCTCCAGTGCCGTGCCCTGATGGGATGCCGGAATAGGAAGCCGACCCAAACCCTGATCCCAGGGCGCACAACCCCAAACAGCATGTCAGCTGTGTGCGCACACCTTTGGCCACGCGGACACCGTCAGGTCAGCTAGCTGTATATTGGCAGTTTTTCCAGAAGAAACATTTAGAAATGTGTCTGAAAATATAGAAATTGGCAGGTACAGAGGTATTAGTGGAAGGTGACCATGAAATCCTGGTTACTCCTGGAACTTTGCTAAGGTGTGTCGCATGCCACATTTCTGCTCTCCTCCCCGGGTGTTCGAGGCCACCGGGATAACACTCTGTCACCTTCAGGAATGTCTAGGATTGGCAGTGTTACAGTATGTTAAGAAAACAAAACTGAGCAAGTATAGGAAATTAAATTACTTTGTTTCCCAGCAGGTGTGGTGGTATTTAAGTACAGATTTTTTTTTATTATCAATGTGGTGGACCTGCCTCATAATGCATTGAAAATCTTTCACATGTGTATTTATTGATTTTCATATTTACCTGAAAGCAGAGAGGCAGACAGCAGAGAGCGAGCGGCCATGCATGGCTCATTGCCCACCCACCCGTGGCAGTCGGGCCTGGGAACTCTGTGTGGACTGCTCACTGCTGAGCCGCCTCCTGCTGCCTCCCGGCGTGCGGGCAGCGGGGTCAGCACCGGGCGATCCGGGTCGTGAATGCAGTGCTGTGCCAGGCACAAGCGCCCGTGGAAGGGCTGGCCAAACTGCCCTTCTCACAGTCACGTTCCCGCTGCTGTCCTGTCCCCCTGCAGGATTTCCTGTACGTCATCCCAACCCCCATGCAGGCGGCGCGCGCGGGCAACACCATCCACGCCATCCTGCTGTACAGGCGCAAGGTGGACCGCGAGGAGATCACGCCGGTAAGCAGGCTCTTCCGGGGGTCACTGGCGCTGTCCCGCGTGGGGTGCGCAGCTCCAGTCTGTCTGCTCCTTCCTGCTGAAAGCGTCCACTCCCTCAGGTCACTGGGTCGGTCCCTCCCCCGGGACTCCGTGCCCATCACACCCCCCTCCGGGACCTCTGGCCACTGAACATCCCCGTGAGGCGTACGCTGTCGGGCTGGGCTGGGTCTGCTCTTGTCCAGCCCCTGTCCCTGGGCGTGCGGAGGTCACGGCGGACTCCCTGAGGGTGCTGAGTGGACGCGCCCCTGTGGGCCTTCCTCCTGCCCTCGGCCCCCTCGGGGAGCCCTTGTTTGCTTGTGAAGGCACTTTCTCCTCAGGCAGCCCTGTGTCCCCAGGGTCCCTTTGCACCTGTTCCAGTAGAGAGTGTGGCTGGGGAGGAAGACTGGCCAGGAACCTGCACCCTGGCCTGGTTCAACAAGTCCCCGGATGACCCCCTGTGAAGACCAAGCCCAGCCCACAGCATGAAGACAGACCAACATAGCGTTCTGTCTTCTTGTTTTTCTTAAGTTGTTTATTTAATTGAAAGGCAGAGTTACAGAGGAAATGGAGATGGAAGGAGAGCTTTTCCCCTGGTTCAGTCGCCAAATGGCCACAGTGGCTGGAACTGGGCGGGCTGTTGTCACTGCATTTAGGCGCCCCAGGTGGGTGCGGAGGCCCAGGGACTTGGGCTGTCCTCCACTGCTTTCCCAGCTGTTAGCAGAGGGCTGGATGGAAAGTGGAGCAGCCGGGATGCAGAGCTGGCCCTGTGCGGGTGGCCTCACTGCATGTCAGAATGGGGTGTGCATTGGCGCCGTGTCGCCGTCTGAAAAACGTGTTTTTATGGCAGATACGCCTTTTGGGCTCCACCATCCCCCTCTGCTCCGCCCAGTGGGAGCGCCTGTTCAATACTTCTCGCATCCCCGGTGTGGAAACAGGTGAGTGGGGCTTCCCGGGGGCCATGGGGAGTCACGGAGAAGTGACCGGCGTGCAAGGGCCGTCCTGAGGCAGGTTGGCGTGCCAGCCTGCCTGGGATTCTGTGTTGGCGACGTTTTGGGCCCCTGAGCTTCCTGTTTGCACTGCGCCCTGGCATGTGGCAGCATCCGCCTCTCCATGTCAGGGCCATCTCCCCAGCTGCTCTCTGCCAGGCCCCTCCCGGCAGGTTCTAGCCTGCTTGCAGGGTTTCTTGGCAAATATGGTCTGAATCGGGCTCCGCTGCTCACGTACCAGCTGACTGACCCAGGACAGTGACCACAAACTCTCCATCTGCACAGGGCCGTCCAGGTGTGACAGGGAGGGACAGCGGGCACTGGCGGGGACTGTCCCTGGGGTTTGGCTGGGCCCTCTGTGAGCCTCTGTTGCCCCCGAGTCTGCGTGGGCAGCAGCCCTGTCCCGCAGGGGTGTTTGGGGCATAAACTAGTGGACAGAAAATCTCTGTGTCACTACTTTCAAACAAAATGAAAATGAGGGCGTCACCTGGGGACATGTTGCAAGAGAGGAGAGACAGAAAGATCTTCCATCTGCTGATTCACTCCCCAAGAGGTCACAATGGTCAGAGCTGAGCCAATCTGAAGCCAACAGCCAGGAGCTTCTTCTGGGTCTCCCACATGCGTACAGGGTCCCTAAGCTTTGGACCAGCCTCCACTGCTTTCCCAGGTCACAAGCAGGGAGCTGGATGGGAAGTAGAACATCCCGGACATGAAGCTGTGCTCATATGGGATCCTGGCACATTTAAGGCGAGGACTTTAGCCGCTAGGCCACTGTGCTGGGCCCGGGCTCCAGCAGGAAGACAGTGGGAGCCATGTTGGCAAGGAGGCTCAGAGGGACAGGTGTGAATGTGTTACGGAAATGCTCACCTAAACACCGTAAAATTCACAGCACGGGACATGACTGGGCAGTGTGATGGCCACACGCACCTTCCTGAGGTGTGCCCTCGGCCTGTGATGCCTTGCCCTCACTGGCTCTTGTCTCGGTCTCCCTGGCTGCAGTTACACCAAGGGAACAGGGCAGAAGCGTCCTCAGTGGAGGTGCCGCCATGGCAGCTCAGTGTCCGGGCGCTGGCCGAACCTGCCCCACCGCAGGGAGTGAGTCCCGCTCTGTCCACATCCACGCCAGCTTGTCGTCTCAGCGTTCTTGGCAGCGTCCACCCTAACCGGGCTGAGGCAATGGCGCGTTGGGGGTTTGATGAGTCACGCAGGGGTTTTTCACGGACTTGTTGGTCATTGCTGTGTCTCCTGTTGAGGACTCACTGTTCACGTCATGTGCCTATTTAGTAATCGCATTGTTGCTGTTATCATTTTGCTGTTGGCTCTTCAGCCCCTTGGGTATTCTGCCTGTTGCTGTCCTGTGAGATGAGCACGCCACAACACCTGGTCCCATTCTGCAAGCAGCCGTGTCACTGGCTCCGTTCGAATGCCTGTCATCTCCGTTTCCTATTCCCCCACCCTGGCCAGAGGATCTCAGTGGGGACGACAGAGCTAGAGACGCTCTGGCCCTTGTCTCGGTCTCCAGGTGCCCACAGCAGTCAGGACGGGGCCAGGAATTCCATCTGGGTCTCCCAGGTGGGCCGCATCCCACCGCCTCCTGCCCCCACGCTCAGGAAGCTGTGGCGGAGAGGAGCGTGGCCTTGAGCCAGGAACTCTGGGAAGGCCGGGTGCTGCAGCAAGGGTCGCACGTGTCCCAGACGATCTGGCCACCCCCCACGTGGGCTTTCCAGGCGAGGACTTGGGGTGCACATTCACTCCGAGCTTCTGCACGAAACTGCTGAAGCTCAGTAGGTGCTTGCTGATGGCTGCATGGCCACAGGTTTTTTGTTGTTGTTCTTGTTGTTGTTGTTTTTAGATTTGTTTTTCGTTTCTTTTTTGAGAGGTAAAGTTACAGAGAGAGAAGGAGAGTCAGAGCGAAAGATCTTCCATGGGAGGTTCATCCTCTAAATGGTTACAGTGGTCAGCGCTGGGCCAGGTTGAAGCCAGCAATCAGGAGCTTGATGCGGGTCTCCATCGTGTGCGCAGGGGCCCAAGGACTTGGCTGGGTCATCCCCCACTGCCCTTGCGGGCCATCAGCAGGGAGCTGGGTCAGAGGTGGAACTGCTGAGGTTGGAACTGGCGGTCCAGCTTGGATGTGGCGGGTCTTTCTCCCAGGTCACTTCCTGAGCGGGTGGCAGCAGGGCTGGCTCACATGGTCACGTGCTCTCAGCCTCCTCTCACGCTCACCTGCTTCACCTGATGTGCCCATCCTGCGGTCCCCCAGCCCCTGTCTTGTCCAGCCGTCCCCGCACGCCCCACCCTGAACAGCACTTACACAGTGTTTGAGACACGCGCCTCACTTTATCGTGGTTCTGTTGCGTTGAAGCTTTCTGAGGCTCCCCTCTGTCTGAGTCATTTTAGGGAACAGCCTTCGTTCTTTTGAGCCATTTTCCATTTCCCTTCTGAGAACATCGGCTAAGGTTTCCTATTGTAATTCATGAGTGGAAAGCTCACTGTACAGTTTACTGTCTGTGAGCTGTGTGGATGCTGTTTTTAATTCTAGTACAGCCACTCCAGGGCTGTATTGTGTCCATTTCCCAGATGAGAACATTGGGGCTTAGGGGTCACTCACTGCTCCAGACCACACATCCAGTGAGTGACCAAGCTGAGCTTTGAGGCCAGATCCTGCCCGATTCCACAGAGCCCCACTCTGTTGTGCACTTCATGCTGTCAGCAGTCTTGGGAGAGGATGCGGGAACCCAAAGGGGATGACGCGGGGTCAGGAATCGCAGCTGTTGGCAAAGCCGGGGTGTGACGGGCACACGCTCGCGGTGGCCATGACCCTGGGTTCAGTGTGTGTGACCTGTGCCCCCAGACACCCTCCAGCACCTCAAGGACAGCAGGCACATCGTGGTGTACCACAAGGGGCGTTACTTCAAGGTCTGGCTGTACCACGACGGGCGGCTGCTGAAGCCCCGGGAGCTGGAGCAGCAGATGCAGAGGATCCTGGATGACTCCTCGGAGCCCCAGGCGGGGGAAGCCAAGCTGGCGGCCCTCACCGCGGCTGACAGGTGCGGGCCCTCTCCACCTGGCCTGTCTCTGGAGGCGGCCAGGTGCTTTATATTCCTTTGTACCCCCTAGTGGGGGCAGTCCCTCAGGGACCAGCAGACAACCCCGTATGGGGCTCTGTCTCAGCTGCCACCCAGTAGCTGCCCCTATTGTGCCAGTCTGCCTTCTAGACCTCCCTAGGCAGCTGTCCCTGCGTGGCCACAGGTCTCAGCTGAGCTGCATTTGATCTTGCTGCAGAGTGCCCTGGGCCAAGTGTCGCCAGGCCTATTTCGGACGCGGGAAAAACAAGCAGTCTCTGGACGCCATCGAGAAAGCAGCGTTCTTCGTGACGTTGGATGAAACGGAGCAGGGCTACAGAAAGGAAGAGCCGGAAGCGTCCATGGACAGCTACGCCAAGTCCCTCCTGCACGGCAAGTGTTTCGATAGGTAAGACCCTTCCCTTCCCTGGGAGCTTGGAAGCGACGTCCCGCGTGGGCGACGCCAGTCTCAAGGATCTGCATGTGAGGAAGGAGCTGGCCTGAACGTAGAACTTTTGTTTTCTTCCTCTGCGGAAAGTGTCACACACAGCTTGAGAGAGTGTGTGTGTGCACACGTGGGTCCCGTCTTGTGTCGCCCGCCCCTGCTGCAGTCCAGCGTCAGGGGGTTGGTTGGGGCCTGGTGCTGCGTGATGGTCACGTGCTTGCCTGCCGCGCTGTGCCCTGGGCCCTTCTATGACACGCTTGTCCCCCAGGTGGTTTGACAAGTCCTTCACCTTCATCGTCTTCAAGAACGGCAAGATGGGCATGAACGCAGAGCACTCGTGGGCCGACGCGCCCATCGTTGGCCACCTCTGGGAGGTGAGTTCTCAGTGATGGTGGTCTGGCTGTCCCAGGCAGTCTTCTCAAGGGGCTGTATGTTTGTGTGAGAGGCCACGAGGGAGTTCCTGAGCCAGTGCTGCAGCGGTGGCACTGGAGCCGCCCCCGGGGGCCTGCTGAGCCAGCACAGGTGGCTGGAAGGCAGCTCTGAGTGCGCTGGGGTGTCCTGTAGGGGAGGCAGCTGCCCTCGCTCCCTTGCCATCACTGTCGCCTCTCAGGGATCGTGCGGATGGGGAGCCCCCAGTCAGGCACTCGGGACAAGAGTGGGATCCAGGAACCTCGGGTGGCTTTGTCACCATTTGGCCTGACACCCCTCTCCCTGACTGCGTGTTTGACACCTGTCACTACTCTGTGTTTCTGCCCCCACTCTTGTCACCCAGGTTCCTGAGGTGACAGTGCTTCGTGCCCTGTCCTTATAGAACCAAAATAGTGCAGTTACTGGGGCACCTCGGGCGGGACTGCGCTCCCTTCTCCCTGGGATCGGCCAGCTCTCCTCTGCTGCAGTCCCGTTTGAGCTCCCCGCCCAGGTTTAGGCCAGCTACAAACAAGCCTGAAGTCTTGGCTCGCAGAAAGCCGACAGGGGAGTTAGCACTGTGGTGTAGAAGGAAAAGCTGCCACTTAAGACATTCGTTCGTGGTAAACGGCAGACACGTGGCCAGAGGTCCCTATCCCCACCCCGCCACCCCCACCAGGTTTCTGCTGATGCCAGCCCAAGCTGAGCAGGTGCTGTCAGCGAAAATGCTGGCACCTGTTGCAGCCCACGCAGAGCCACGGGCACACCTGGCAACTCACAGTGGGGCACGGTCCTCCAGGCCCCTCCACCCCTTCCAGAAGCTTCCCTAGTGACATAGGCACCAGGGCTGTGATCCCAGGTGGTCTGGGTTGTACAGGGCACCCCGCTCCCCAGTAGAGAAGGCTACAGGTTTCCCAGATCTGGATAAGGCCGCGGGGACTTGGTGTTAGGCCAGGCTGGTCAGAGCGCTGCTGTTGGACTGCCACTGTCCAGCTGGCGGGCTGGCCCGTGACTCCAGGGGACCAGGGGACGGGAGCCCAGGCACTCGGGCATGGGTGGGGTCTGACTTAGTCCCTCGTCACAGAGGTCCAGTGCCACATGTTGCAGGTACGTTGTCCTTTGTAGCCATGTTTAGCCCAGGTTCCCTCCTGTTTGCTCCTGCTGCGTCTCTGTGTTCATTTAGTCTGGTCTGGAGCAGCTTAAAGGGGAGTACTGGCTCCTGCACCCTCTCAGTGCTCCCCCAGGTCAACCTGACTTTGGGTAGGTATTATTACCCCCATGTCTGAGGCTACAGAAGGTCCTGGTGTAAGATGGCACGGGGGTGGATGTCTGGCAGAACAGCTCGGATGCTCACAGCCCATACCAGAGTACCCAGGTTCAAGTCCCAGCTCTGCTTCCTGTCATCCGTGCCCCAAGACGCAGTGGGTCCCTGTCACCCATGTGGACACTTGAGTTGAGTTCTGGGCTCCTGGTTCGGCCCTGACCCAGGTCCCAGCTGCTGAGGGGTGTGTTGGGGGGTGACCCAGCGGATGTCTTTGCCTTTTAAATCAGGCTTTTTTCTTTAAAAATATGTTGATATCGTCTTTTTTCTTTGAAAGGCAAAGTGACAGAGGGGAAGAGAGTGACAAAGATCTTCTGTGATCCCAAAAGGACCAGACAAGCCAAGGCTAGGCTTGCCCAAAGCCAGGGGCCAGGAGCTCAGGCTGGGTCTAAAGCTGGGGACCTGGGCTAGGCTTGCCCAAAGCCAGGGGCCAGGAGCTCAGGCTGGGACTAAAGCTGGGGACCTGGGCTAGGCTTGCCCAAAGCCAGGGGCCAGGAGCTCAGGCTGGGTCTAAAGCTGGGGACCAGGGCTAGGCTTGCCCAAAGCCAGGGGCCAGGAGCTCAGGCTGGGTCTAAAGCTGGGGACCTGGGCTAGGCTTGCCCAAAGCCAGGGGCCAGGAGCTCAGTGCGCACACAGCAGGGCACCAGGGCAGGACTGACACTCCAGTAAGAGGCGCCGGCATCTCAGTGGCACCCTAACTCCGCACAGAAGGCCTACCCTTAGATCGGCATGTCATGTGTCTTCGGAGGCTCCTGCAAGCAGGAACCCATAGATGCTGAGGGGTGACTGTGTGCCACTTGCTGGGGAAAGGCCAGAGTCCTTGCTGCTTGGTGCCAGCCCCCTGCAAGGCCCTGAGGAGTCCTGTGGCAGAAGTCGGCTTAGGGTTACCCGGCAGGGAACGGTGAACGTCCACGCTGTCAGGGCCTGGCCGCCTGTGGAGTGTGAGTGTGGAGTACGAGGCCGAGCTCCTCTCTGTCCACCTGGTTACATGTTCACGTCGCATGACCTCGCACAGAGAGGTCCTGCTGCAGGGCCCAGACCCTGGGCGGCTTTCCGGCCTGCATGTGCTCTGGCACTCTGCGTGGGTCCTGGCTGTGCTCCCCAAGTGTCTTGTGGTCTTAGTCCAGGGGTTGACCCTGCTCATGTCCTCAGTAGAGCTGAGCCCCCAGTCTGTTGGGTGGGAAGTGTGCTGTGAGTGCCCCCTGAGAGGGCTGATGGCGCCAGGCTCCCCGTAGGGAGCAGCATGACCTCTGCCTGGGGCCAGACGTGTCTCAGCGCTGGCCGCAGCTACACAGTGTCTGGCCTCGAGGCTCACGTTGTGTTTTCCACAGTACGTCATGGCCACGGACTGCTTCCAGCTGGGCTACGCGGATGATGGACACTGCAAAGGGGACCCCAACCCCAGCATCCCGTACCCCACCAGGCTGCAGTGGGACATCCCCGAGGAGGTGAGTCCAGGCGGTCCGCGGGGGGTGGGGGATGCAGCCTGCTTCTCCCAGCGCAGCCCCAGCATCGGTTTGCCACACTCAGGGTTCTAGACCCCGTAGGCAGTGCTCAGCTGGGCATATTCATGGGGCCTGGGGACATCCCAGCTGCTACCTCCTGCCTCCGCCTTCCTCCTACGGGCTCGGCGTGGTCCCCTGAAGGATAAGGGCGCTTGTCCTTGGGGTCCTGCTGGTGACCACAGCACTTTTCTTTGCTTCCTGTCCCAGAGCAGCTTTAGCTTTGGGGGTGAATACTTCCTGTCCCCACAGGGGCCTCCCCTGCTCAGCCTGCCCTGCCGGAGCGCTTGGGGACCAATGCCCCTTACCACCATGTGTGCTCATCCCTTTATTTATTAATTTTAATGTTACTTCTTTTTATTATGATCATTTTATAATCCATAGGCCCTGGGATTTCCCTTACCCCCTCCTAGAGTCCCTCCCTCCTCACTGAGTCCCCTATATCATGACTATAGTATAGTTCTTCATACACAGTCATATGTCCATCATTACAGACATGGACAATGGCAGAGTTCAGCATCCTATTTCCAAGGTATAGTTAACTGTTTCCTTGGGAGTCCATCTTTGTCTGGAAGTGGAGATGCCTACTGCATTGTATCCTCACATCTGGATAGGATAGTCTCCATGACACAGTTACCATACAACCCCTTAAATGAAAAGCTGAAAGACAAAATCAACAATAGGGCAAAAAAAGAAATTAACAACACCATGAAGTTCAATAACGTGCTACTGGGTGACTAATGTGTTCTGAAGAAATATGAAAGAAAATCAAGAATCTTCTTGAAGAAAATGCTGCTCTGTATGATCTATGAGTCATTGAAGAATTTAATAAGAAAGTGTTTTGAAGAGATGAAACTAACCACACACACACACAAACAAATCAAAATCCCCGAGATGCAGTTTCCTCTGGTCTTTGTTGGTGAAATGTGCCTCCTGTAGGCAACAGATGGGTTTTATTTTTTAATCCATTTTTAATCTATGATGTTGGATTGGTGAGTTTAAGCCATTTACATTCAGGGTTAACATCCTGTGAGTTTAGCAATGCGTTGTTCATTGATTTAGTCTTCGGTTATTTTACTTGAATGTTCTCATTTGCCTTTGGTTTTGGTGATTTCTCTTCTAGTCCTCTTTCTTAAGAGAACATCTTGAAGTATCATTTGTAGGGCAGATTTGGAAGAGGCACGTTCTTTTAACTTCTCTTTACTGTGGAAGAATTTTATTTCATTTTCAAAGACAAAGGAAAGTTTGCTGGGTATGTTATCCTGGGCCGATAATTTTTTGCTTTTATAATCTGGGATATATCACTCCATTCTCTTCTTGCCTGTAGAGTTTCCTGTGAGAGATCTCCTGTGAGCTTAATTGGCATTCCTTTATATGTCAATTGATTTTTTTTCATGTGCACATTTAAGGATCTTTTCCTTATGTTCAGTTAAAGAGAGTTTGATTATCATGTGTCATGGTGAAGACAGCTTTTGATCAACCCTGTTGGGAGTTCTGTGCCCCTCCTGGATGTTGTTTCCCAATTCTTTGTCTAGATTAGGGAAATTTTCCCTTATTATTTCATTAAAAACATTTTTAAACCCAGCTTCTCTTTCTGCACCTTCTGGAACTCCCATGGCTCTTATATTTGGTCTTTTAATAGTGTCTCTTAATTCTTGAATACTTTTTTTTAGCCTGATCCAGCTCTGCTTCCAGCTTTTTGTTTGTTTTTCCCCGGTGACAGGAAATATCTTCTAATTCTGAGATTCTTTCTTCTGCCTCTTTCATTCTATTTTGGAGACTCTCCACTGTACTTTTAATTTGCTCCACTGTGTTCTTCATTTCCAATGTATCAGCTTTCGTTTGATTCATTCCCAGTGTGACATATTCCTTAAATTTTGTGAGCACCTACTTTACGTGTTTCTCATTATTGATAAGAAGCTTTATAACACGTGTTTTGAATTCCGTATCCCCCATTACTCAATGTCTTCCTCAGCTGAGGTAGGCAAAGGCTTTTGCTCCTTTGCAGGGGAGTCTTCAGTAATATTCATTGTGCCTCTGTCTCTTCTTTTGCCCTTGGTCATTGTACTTCTGGTTAGCAGAGTCTTCTCCTTGGGGCAGGTTTCTAAGCTCTGACACCCACAGGTCTACAGTTCAGTTTTACTTATTGCAGTTGGTATGCAGTCACTTGTGCCACCCTCTCCTGGGATCTTATGTTAGATTTCCACCATGGTCTTCCCACCTGACTGCTGGTGGATTTCCGGCTGCTGGTGGAGTTCAGATTGGCACTAGCTAAATGACGCTGGGGTATCAGTCACTGCAACACCACCCTGTTGTTTTCACTGCTTTCCTGTGTCTGTCAGTCTCCAGGTGCCCCTCTGCTGCTGTTCTGCCCTCTCCTATTTCCTGGCTTCACACCGGCTAATGTTTCTCTATTTAAACGTGTCCTCACCCTATTCCGCCATCTTGATTCTCCACTCATCGCTTTATTTACTGTTTTCAAAAGGCTCCCTCGACTGCCTGGATGAGGCAGCAGCCAGCTCAATTAAGCACAACTCCTGGGGGATCTCACTGGCAAGCAGTAGCCCAGAGAGCCCCTGCAATGACCCCGCTGTGCCTGAGATGGGGTGGCAGGTGGAGTGGAGCACCCTGGGGTTTCCAGATGATGGGTATCCCCAAAAGGACCCAGGTGAATACGTGCTCTGTGGTTTGCAAGGAGCCGCTCAGCAGCCACAGGGGCCTTCTGCGTCGGGAAGACCCTCTCCCCACGCTGACGGGCCTGTCTGCTCTCTCCCCAGTGCCAAGAGGTGATCGAGGCGTCCTTGAGCAGCGCGACGCTCCTGGCCAGCGACGTGGATCTCCACTCATTCCCTTTCCACACCTTTGGGAAAGGTTTGATCAAGAAGTGCCGGACCAGCCCGGACGCCTTCATCCAGCTGGCCCTGCAGCTGGCTCATTACAAGGTGAGGCTGCGAACCGGGGCTTTAGATGTGAGCGCTATGCGGTTCCATGGCTTTAGAGAGGACCTGGGCCCTGGCACCCACAGCACTGCCCTCCTGGGTGTGTCCTCCTCCTCACTCAGTGTCCATGGGCCTTCCTGCCTGTCTTGGGGACAGCGTGGTGTTGGCCAAGGCTGAGCCCCACTTCGCTGTGCACCTGTGGCACGAGTTGGATCGTGTGGCAGCAGCTGGGCCATGATGGGCCTTCCGCTGGCCTGTGTGCCTCCCGGACTTCTTGAGTCTCTCACCGAGGAGCATTCGACCCCATTTCACAGACTGGGAAGACGAGATTAAGGAGGCAGGTGACTCTCCAAGGTGCCACTGACTGGGCTGAGGTGAAGCCGGTGGCGCTCAGCTTCCTCCGCAGCTAGAAAATATAAACGGAGGTCTAGAAGGGAAGGGCCTGGCGTTCAGAGCTGCCCAGTGAGCGGGAACAAACGGGTCGGAGTGCGTTCTGAGGGATGATGAGACAGGAAAGCCGGTCGGCCGTTGCCCGGGGCACCCGCGCCTGCAGGGCAGGTGCTGGCTCAGTGCCCGAGCAGGCCTGCGAGGTCAGGCTGTTTCCCCAGCTTGGGGAGATGCGTGCAGCAGCGCAGGTGCGCGCAGCTCTGGCTCAAGGGAGAAGAAGTGGAGGTTCTACTTTGCTATGAGAACCCAGGGGCCGCCCGCTGGAGCCTACGGTCTGCTGGCTGTGGGGGCATGAACCTGCCCCCGCATGGCATCCTGGTGCTTGGAGGTGGGTTAGCCAGCTGAGCCATCATGCCAGACCTGGTCACTCTGCTTTTCAAGAAGAAAAGAATCATTTGTTTCATGACCCAAGCTGAGGTGTGTTCTTGGAGCTCCGGTTAGCAACACGAGGCCCCTCCCCGAGGTTAGAGGTTCCTACAGCACTCTGCCCATTAGAACAGCCCACCGGAAGTGTAAATCCACTTCATTCAGTGCCATGAACTTGTCCAGGTGTCCGCTGAGCGAGGTGTTCCAGGTGCTGACACAGACCCAGCACAGCTCAGCTGCAGGGCCTGCCTGAGGTCCTGGCTCAGCGGACACCCTGGCTCAGCCCTGGGGTCCTGGCTCAGCCCTGGCACCCTGGCTCAGCCCTGGGGTCACCTGGGCACCCTGGGCTCAGTGGGCACCCTGGCTCAGTCCTGGGGTCCTGGCTCGGGCCTAGGGTCCTGGTCAGCCCTGGGGTCCTGGCTTGGCCCTGGCACCCTGGCTCAGCCCTGGGGTCCTGGTCAGCCCTAGTGTCCTAGCTCAGTGGGCACCCTGGCTCAGTCCTGGGATCCTAGCCCAACCCTGGGGTCCTGGCTCAGTGGTCACCCTGACTCAGTCCTAGGGTCCTGGTCAGCCCTGGGGTCCTGGCTCAGCGGTCACCCTGACTCAGTCCTAGGGTCCTGGCTCTGCCCTGGGGTCCTGGCTCAGTGGACACCCTGACTCAGTCCTAGGGTCCTGGCTCAGGCCTGGGGTCCTGGTCAGCCCTGGGGTCCTGGCTCAGCGGGCACCCTGACTCAGTCCTAGGGTCCTGGCTCGGCCCTAGGGTCCTGGCTCAGTGGACACCCTGACTCAGTCCTAGGGTCCTGGCTCGGGCCTGGGGTCCTGGTCAGCCCTGGGGTCCTGGCTCAGCGGGCACCCTGACTCAGTCCTAGGGTCCTGGCTCGGGCCTGGGGTCCTGGTCAGCCCTGGGGTCCTGGCTCAGTGGTCACCCTGACTCAGTCCTAGGGTCCTGGCTCGGCCCTGGGGTCCTGGCTCGGGCCTGGGGTCCTGGCTCAGCGGGCACCCTGACTCAGTCCTAGGGTCCTGGCTCGGGCCTGGGGTCCTGGCTCGGGCCTGGGGTCCTGGCTCAGCGGGCACCCTTGCTTGGCCCTGGGAACTGGAGGAGACTGCAGTGTGACATGCAGGGTGTAGCACAGACTGCTCCTCCTGTTTGATCTTGACCTTTTGTACGCAAGGTCAGGTGGTCCCAGCAATGCATTGTAAGCATCTAAGCTGGGAGTGTCCCCTTGAGCAGGTCACCTGGGTCACTTCCGCTCCACCCAGTCCCACAGTTCCAACTTTTTTATAAGAGAATTTTATTTTTTTTAGAAAAAAAAATTTAAGTGTATTTATTTATTTGAAATATGGAGTTACAAAAAGAGGGAATGCCCTTCCGCCTGCTGCTTCTCTTCGCACAGGGCTGCAGCAGCCCAGGCTGGTCCAGAGGTAGGAGCCATGAGCTAGTGTCACAAGGAATTCGATACGAAACGCGGCAGCAGCCTCATTTCTTGTCACATGAGAGAAGAGTTTTTGTGGGGACAAATCTAGTTTGCAAAGCAGGATTTACTTAGGAATGGGAGAAAGAGGCCTCCTGCCGTAGTGACAGGAGAGGCCCCAGGGAAGTGTGGGGTTGGTGTCTTAGCATCTCAGGGGAGTCACTCGGAGGGCAAAGCAGAGGACAGCGGGAGGCTGGGGCCGCTGCCTCCTCCCATTCGGAGTGTGCTGAGAGGGAACTGATGTGTTCACCTGCCCTTTGGTTCCCCTTTCACAGGAGTACGTGCTCTTGGGAGGGTAGGAAATGGAGAGGCGCTTCTCCAGGGACCAGAGACCCCAACTGCCTACTGTCCGTCTGACTCCTCACACCTGGAGCTTCCGCAGGGTTCCAGCCGCTGTAGGCAGAAGTGCTGTCTTGGGCACCGTCTCAGCAAGGAGCACGTTCACCGTGGACAGAGCAGGGGGCCCTCGGGAGGGTGGGGCTGCGGGCTTCCTCCTCCCCTGCTGCTGATCAGCTCAACTCCGAGAGGAACTCGGAGATGCTCTCGGTATGACAACACCACCAAGCCGTAGGTCTTGATGGTCTCATTTTTATTGGGAAGGCAGATTCACACAGAGGAGAGACAGAAAGATAATCCGCTGGTTCACTCCCCAAGTGGCTGTAACAGCCGGAACTGAGTCAATCTTAAGCCAGGAGCCAGGAAACTTCTTCTGGTCTCCCATGTGAGTGCAGGGTCCTAAGACTTTGGGCCATCCTCCACTGCTTTCCCAGGCTACAAGCAGGACGCTGGGTGGGAAGTGGGGCAGCTGGGATTAGAACCGGCGCCCATATGGGATCCTGGTGTGCGCAAGGTGAGGAATTAGCTACTGAGCCATTGCTTAAAAAATAACTTTGCCGTGGACCAGAGACCATAAGTACCTGTTAGCCCATCTGACTGCTTACAGCACCAGCCCTGCTCCCGCCTGCTAAACCTCCGTGCTCCGGGAAGTCTGGGGAGCCTAGAGCCCTGTGTTAACTGACTCCAGCAACACAACAGAACGTGTCAGACACCGTCTAGTAACTAGAGAAAAGACCTATTGATGAGGTGCACACTTTAGGGAGTTGGCGTCCTTGCAGGGGTGGGGCCTGTAAGGGAGGGTTTGCCCAGAAGTGACGTGGCAGAGGGGCTTGGCTGGGCTTGATTTCGTCATCTGTGATGTCCCTCTGTTGAGAACTGCTTTCTGAGGACATGTCCGTGCCCTAGTGGCCCCGAGACCTCACACTGGGCCCTGCTTGTCAAGCAGCCATCAAACGGGATGCCCCCTGTCTTATAACATGGGGCTAAGGTCCTGAGTTGGAGGGCCGTGGGATGTGCAGAGCACAGGAACCAAGAACTTACGGAGCCTGATGTGAGATGCTCAGCATCGTGAGGGCCTGGCCAGGTGCACCTGCCGCAGAGCCAGGGCAGAGGGTAGCCAAGACCTGGAGTCCGCGGCCCTGTCTGTGAGCCTGGGCTGGGAGAGACTTCAACCAGCAGTGTAGCACGCAGTCCAGCTTGCTGTGTGTGACAGAGACCGTGCTGCCTGAACCATCGGCATCCAGCTCTCCCCCACGGAGCACACATAGCAGGGAGCTGGGTGGGAAAGTGAGGACGGGGGACCCCAATGTCTGCTCAGGATGTGTGGGCCAGAGTGCGTCCCACCTGCGCGCTGTGGACGTCCACTCTAGGGCGAGGAGAAGTGCTGGGTGTGAGTACCAAACATGAGGACACGTGGCTCGTTGTCCTGAGCTGGGTTAGGATCGGCAGTGCGGTCGGGAGCCATGCCTCGTAGTGTGTTGTCACCATGTCCACAGTGTCACCAGGCCGTTCTCAGCTGCATTGAGTCTGAGGGCCACCCTGCACAGCTGCATCACGCTGTGCCCAGCTCGATCCACAAGTGTTGCCCCTTGTGGAATTGCATCCAATCCTTCCGACAGAGTTGGTGGTAGCAAGGCATACTTGGGACACCCAGGGATCAATCCCTGACCCAGCCTGTCCCAAAGCAAATACCACGGCTGTCCACTCCGTGTGACCAGGACGTGCCAACACAGGCTCTCACTGAAGAGAAAAGCACAGAGCAGTGAGTCTCTCCTTGCCAGCCTAGCAGCCACCCTCCTGCCTTAGGGTTCACCACATGCCTAGCCCAGGCCTGAAGGTCTTTTTCTTCCCCCAGGACATGGGCAAATTCTGCCTCACGTATGAGGCCTCCATGACCCGGCTATTCCGAGAGGGGAGGACAGAGACCGTGCGCTCCTGTACCACGGAGTCCTGCAACTTCGTGCTGGCCATGATGGACCCCACCCAGACGGTAACACGCAGTGCCCTGCCGCCTCCCATGAGGGACATGAGCGGTGGGCCGGTGCGGTGCCTTCCTCGTGCTGTGGCCCTCCGCCTGCTCCTCCCTGCCTCCCCACACCCCCACCCCCATCCCCAGGGAGCGGGCAGGGACAGGCGGCAGATCAGGGCTGGGTCCTGTGCTTCTAGAAGTCAGGTTGTGCTCCCCATGGGTCTTTGCAATAGAATCGAGTGAAGGGTTTCTGTAGGTTGCCTGTTCAAGTCCCAGCAGTACCTGGGACATAGTATCATCTCCCTTCCATGGACGAAGAAACAGAGCAAGATTAAATGACCTAGTCAGTGCCACCCACCTAGTAAGTGGCAGCTGTCAGAGCTGTGCCCAGGCCACCCAACCCCGGGCGGGCCAGGGTTCTCTTTTCTGTGGGAAATTTTGCTTTGAAAAGGCTCTTAGTTCTGAGGAGAGAAATGAGCCATGGCTCATGGCTCTGATGGGATTGTTCCAGAAAAGGCCTTGAAGACCTGATGGGTGGCACTCAGTCCACTGAGTGAGCATTACGCTGCCCTGACCTGATGGTTTCCGTCACCGAGTCCCAAGGAACCTGAGAGGGGCACTCAGGGTCAGAATTAAGGGCACAGAAGTGCTGTTCTAGAATTGTCAGCCAGACCATACCCCATGGTGCCACGGCAAGGAGGCTAAGACACGGTGGGTATGATGCGAACAGGTGAAGTGATACAGGGCACACAGGCCCAGGCGACCTCGGGTGTGGTTCTCCAGCTGTCCGCCTTGCCCCTTGGAACCCCCTAGGGAAGGGGCAACCGCCTGCCCTGTGTGTCATCAGGAGACCCTGGGGCCAGTGCAGCCCTTTCCTGGGGATGCCCCCTGGGAAGGGCAGCTGCCCGCCCTGTGTGGCACCAGGAGACCCCAGGTGCCTATGTGCCCCTTTCCTGGGGGCTGAGAGGCAGGTGGCCCGGCCTGACGCGTCCCGTGCCTGCGCCCTTGGTCTCTCAGGTGGAACAGAGGCTCCGCCTGTTCAAGCTGGCATCCGAGAAGCACCAGCACCTGTATCGCCTGGCCATGACCGGCGCGGGCATCGACCGGCACCTCTTCTGCCTCTACGTGGTGTCCAAGTACCTGGGCGTGGAGTCCCCTTTCCTGAAGGAGGTGAGTCCCTCTCCCCGGGAGGCGCTGTGCTTGCTGGATGGGGCCCAGGCTCAGCCCGTGAGCAGAGCCTGGTCCAGGAGAGGGGGCAGCGGGCAAGTGCGCCGGTGGGGTCAGGGGTCAGACGGGGGCGGTGGTTTAGTCTGCAGGTTTAGGGTTGCATTTGCTCAGGCCTTTGGAGCTGCTTGGTCCCTCTGTTGCTTTCTCATACTCTGAATCCACTTCCATGGTTTGAAGCGCCTGCTGTGGCACCGCACAGCCCGCGCAGCCTCACTGTGCCCTGTTGCTCAGCTGAGCGCAGCATCTAGGCAGCGTGCCTGCGAGCTAGGCTGGGCAAAAGCCAGGAGGCAGGAGTTTCTTCCAGGTCTTCAAAGTGGGCACAGGCTTCGAGCACTTGGACCATCTTCCAGCACTTTCCCAAGTACATTAGCAGAGAGCTGGATTGGAAATGGAGCAGCCAGGACTGCACCCAATGCCCACATGCGATGCCAGGGTTACAGACGGTGGCTTAACCCACCACACCACCACACTTGTCTCTTCAGTGTAAGTTGTAAATTTTTTGGTTAATGGCTGAGTTTATAAGCCACTAACGGTGGGTAAAGCTGCCTCTTGCAATGCCAGCATCCCGCACGGGTGCTTCTTTAAAGTCGAGGCTGCGTCACTTCCCCTCCCGCTCTCAGGAGATGCAGAAGGTGGTCCAAGTGCTCGGGGCCTGCTGCCGCCTGGGGACAGACGAGGCTCGGGCTTCCGGCCAGGCTGTGGTGCCCATTTGAAAACTGGGCTCATGGACGGTGAGCTCTCTCTGTCTCCATCTCTCTGTATAAAATTCAGCCTTTCAAATAAAAATAAAAAGCCATTAAAAGGGAGATGTCACGGTCACTCAGCTCTCGGGACTCGCACCAGGCCTCCAATCCTGCCCCTGCCCCGCCGCTGTGCGACAGTGTGTCCACCAGCCCCTCTGACTGCGCTGGCTGCACGGCCGCTGGCTCCTGGGCACCCGTTGTGCCCGTGGCCCAGTCTGCACAGCAGCAAGCCCCGCGGGGGCCCCTCTCAGCCCCCAGAGGACAGAAGCAGCCTTTCCCTGTTGCCCGCCAGGTTTTATCGGAGCCCTGGAGGTTGTCGACAAGCCAGACTCCTCAGCAGCAGGTGGAGCTGTTTGACTTTGAGCGGAACCCAGAGCACGTCTCCGGCGGAGGGGGCTTCGGGCCGGTGCGTGCAGCAAGAGTCTGTGGGCGGTGGGGGGCCCGTCCCACTGCATGGCAGGTGCTGGTTGTACGAGCCCCCAAGCGTGGGCCCGCCTCCCCACGGTACACCTTACCCCGCAGGTTGCGGACGATGGCTACGGCGTGTCCTACATCATCGTGGGCGAGAACTTCATCCACTTCCACATCTCCTCCAAGTTTTCCTGTCCTGAGACGGTGTGTACGAACAGGAGCTTGTTGCAGAGGGGCTCTTTGTATGTCCTTCGTTTGGGGGTGGTGTGGGGCGTGAGGGGAATGTCGGGATTTCACAGGAAGTCTCAGGTCAGTTACTCGCTGTGGCATCTGCATACACAGCTTCAACGTCCTGTGGCCCGGCGTTAGGGAAACACGGCTGAGTGTTAGGGTGTGAGTGCCTTCTGCGGAGCCAGCAGGGGTCAGCATGATCGCGGCAGCGCGCAGGACTCCCCACGGGGCCGGCTCTCGGGCTGGGAGCTAAGGCCACGGTCAGGTCACCCGTGTCCCATGCCGGGGGCCCCGGGCTTGAGGCTCAGCTCTGGTGCTGGGCTCCAGCCTCCTGTGGATACATACTGCAGAAACATGGGGTGCTGCCGCACGTGGCGGGGTGCGTGGATAGGGGCCCAGCCTCTGGCCCTAGCCTGGCCACTCTGCGTTTACTACGTACTATGAAAGTGTGCTCACTTGCTCTCCCTCCCTACTTCTCAAAACCATTTTAATGTTTGACAAACAGTAGGCCTGCGTGACAGAGCCTGGATGTCCGGGTCCTCAGGCGGTGGGCTGCTGCTCACCTGGCATATTTACTCCGCTGGATCCTCCTCCCGCCTTGTGCCCAGCCGACAGGCGGCGTCAAGGCCACTGTTACCAGCAGAGCGGCGTCCGTGTGCTGCAGTATGCAGAGTCTATTTAGCTACACATCAGAACCACGGCCGCAGCGTCCACGCGCTTTGAGGTTTCTCCAAACTCATGCAGGATAGTGCCGAAGCCACCGGAGTGGCCAAAAGGCATGAGGGGGAAATATGTATTTTCTTTTATTTGAAAGCCACAGTTATAAAGAAAGAGAGGGAAAGAGATTTTCCTTTTGTTTTTAAGATTAATTTATTTTTATTGCAAAGTCAGGTATACAGAGAGGAGGAGAGACAGAGAGGAAGATCTTCCATCTGATGATTCACTCCCCAAATAACTGCAATGCCCAGAACTGAGCCAATCAAGAGCCAGGAGCTTCTTTTGGGTCTCCCATGTGGGTGCAGGGTCCCAAGGCTTTGGGCTGTCCTTGACTGCTTTCCCAGGGTACAAGCAGGGAGCTGGATGGGAAGCAGAGCTGCTGGGATTAGAACTGACATCCATATGGGATCCCAGCACATGCAAGGCGAGGACTTTAGCCACTGGACTACCACGCTGGGCCTGAGAGAGAGGTTTTTCTACCTGCTGGTTAACTCCTCAAATGGCTGCAATAGCTAGACCTGGGGGCCAGGGCTTCTTCCAGGTCTCTCACGGGGTTCAGGGCGCACGGACTTGGAACCCTCTGCTGCCTTCCCAGGTTATCTGCAGAGAGCTAGATGAGAAGTGGAGCAGCCAGGACTTGAACCAGTACCCATATGGGATGCCGGTGCCACAGGAGCGTTGTCGGATATGCCAGCATGCTGGCCGCTAAAGCCTTTTCTCATTCAGTGTTGCATTAGGGTAAACGTGAAGAGGCCATGGTGCAGCAGGCTACTCATTCTCCTCCATCTTGTTTCGCCTCCCAGGACTCCCATCGCTTCGGAATGCACCTGAGACAAGCCATGACCGACATCATCGCTCTGTTCGGGCTCAGATCTAACTCCAGGAAGTGATGGCCGGGAGCCCCCCGAGCAGCAGCAGGGACCCTCCTGGAGCGAGCCATGTGATCACAGTCCGGGATGGAAACTCACCTTAGAAAAGCCCACGCTTCCCTAGACCAGCCAAGTGCCGCCCTCCCCTGCCGGGCCCGCGCCCCTCGGCAGCAGCTGCCCAGGTGCCCCAGGGCTGGTGGGGGGAGGGATGGCAGGGCGGTGGCATCCTGGAGGAGGGGGACGTCCTGCCCGTGGACCTCAGGGCGGCCGACCAGCCGCCAGCCGGGGCGTCAGGGCCTCTTACGTCATCATGGCCGTGTGAACGCTGGCTGTGTTCAGGGACAGGTGGGTTGTGTTGTTGAAGAGCGCCGACACGTCACGTCACGCACCGTCAGGGGGTGCCGTGGCTGCAGGCAGGCACTGTCCCCGTGGGCAGCTGTCTTGATCCGTAGGCCATGTTCCCCTCTGGGTGAGCAGTGAGCCCCATGCTGCGTCCCTAGCTTCCCAAGTCCTCCAAACGCAGTGCCTTAGGGTGAAACGCCCAGATGGAAGGGTCTTCTGGGTGACGTCCCCCAGGAGGGCCCTGGTGGCAGTGTGTTCCCCTCACATCGGTGACCATGGGCCTCCCTCCAAAGCGTTGGCCGTGACTGCCCCGTGGCTAGAGGGAGCATTGCTCTGTGACTGTCCTGTGGGACTGGCGTCTGTCAGCTGGCAGGCATCTGTCAGGAGGAGGAGGAGGGCTGTGACGGCAGAACCTGTGGAAGGACAAATACAGCAGGTGCCTGAGGACCGCTGTCTCCAGAGAACCACTGTGCCGGAGACAGGATGGCCGTGCTGTGGTCCTGGCGCCCGCTCCCTGGCGCCCCACCTGCTCAGAGGGGTGCCTTGAGCCGCACATGGGGGGCAGGGCCATCCAGGAGTGGAGCTGAGTGGGGCCATGGCAGGCGCAGCCTGTCCCACGGACAGCAACTCTCCGTGGGCGGCCTCTTGTGAATCCAGAGCTCCACAGGCCGAGCCGCTGTGCTGCGGGGGCCAAGTGCAGCCCTGTGGACCCACAGTCCTCTGCTCCGGGCTCCCCTGACTCCTCTGTTCTAACCGGGCCTGCCTCTTCCTGCCTGCTCTACGCTGATGGTTACAATAGCCTGGCCTGACCTGCGGGCACCATAGAAGAAAGTTACCCGTTTCGTTATGTTTGTCTTGTAGTGTGGAAATCCCATCTAAATGTACCTGAGGTTTGTTTTTCCTTCAAGATCTGAAAACAGCAGGGCAGAAAAAAACAGCAGCAGCTCCCCGATCCCTGTGTCCAGCCGGGTCGGTGCGGACAAGCTGGCACCGCTGCCAGGGCCAGCAGAGCTCCCCGCAACGCCGGCGGCGACCACCGGCCACTCTGCCGGCCGAGCGTCCCGGGATTGCCAGGTCCCACGCTGCTGCTCCTCAGGGCAGCCGTCCGTGTCCAGGAGGGCAGGAGGGTGCTCAAAGGCTTAGTGTTAGGGCGTGTAAGACGCTAGGAACTGAATTTGGAGCGCAGCCGTCGTGGGCCGTCCATCGCATGTAAATACCGTTTGCTCTCGGGCCGTCAGTGCACAGAGTGGATGTAGATTACCACTAATAAAACACAATGCCATCTGCTGTCATCTGTCTCTTCTTCCCCAGCGCGTGAGGGGCCAGGTGCGTGGCTGGGGCGCTAGGAGAGCCTCTCCGCCCAGAACTGTCTCCTGACAAGGCAGTGCTGCTGTGGCATGGTCTCTCCCCTTGGAGATGAGAAAAAAAAACAAAACAAAACACGTTTTTATTTTCCCGTCGGCTGCAGCACTGCCTGCAGGTGCAAAGACCCTGGGCTGAGTGCTCCCTACCGCGCCTGGTCACAGGCAGCTCGGGCCAGCCCCCTGAGGCCGCCCTGCGTTTCCCGACTGAAAAGGAGCATGACAACTTTTAACCTCCGCTTCAGGGAGAGCTTTTGCTCTTCCGTGGGTTTGGCTCACCTCACACACAAATTTAGTTGCATTTGTGACTTAGAGGGTGGCAGGGGTCTTCAAAAACGTGTGGAAATATTAGATCACACAAAAAAGTGCACCTAGTTGTTGAAGTTTATCTTCCCTGCGCACTTTCTGAAGTGCCTTTGTCATTTCTGACCACTGTTCCTAGTCCCCGTCAGGGGCGGGTAGCTCGTTGTGCTTGAATGGAACCAGCCAGTACCCTGGCGCACTCTCAAGCTGGGGCACCAAGGGCCGGAGGTCTGCACGGTTAGGATGTGCAGGGGCCAACTGCTGCCCTGTGCATCCCCAGAGCATCCTGCAGGTGCCTCGGTTGCCCAGTCTGGGCACGGGCGTTGGACCTGGCCCCACCCACCCGCTGGCTCTGCACATTTCTCCTCAGCCAGCATTCTGAGAACGCGCCAGAAACCTGGGTGCTGGGGTCGGGTGTCCCGGGTGGCCTGCGTGGTGAGGGGAGCCGAGCTGGTGACGTGATCGAGGGTCCCTGCCTGCCGCTGGGGGCCATGGGGCTGGAAACCCAGGTGGGCGTCGCTCCCTTGCTGAGGGCAGGACCCTTGGCCCCGAGGTGTCCCCGGGACCCCCGCTGCCTCCGAGGCCCTGGACACCTCTAGTTCCCTGGGCCGTTCGCAGGTTCCCAGGCTCCCAGGCTTCCTTCCCTGCTGGAAGCGGATGTCCAGGGCTTGGTTTCCCACTGTGTCATTGCTGAGTGGTTTTGCGGGAGGGTGGTGGCCTTGGCCTCCAGGCTGAGCATACACTGCTCCCAAAGGTCCTGGGTCATTTTAACTATCTTCCCATTGGTGAGTCAGAGCAGGACTACTATTTAAATATTAGCACAAATATAGATGATAACTATATTCCAATTGGACCAACACATCACACCAATCGTTGGCGTGTTGAGGGAAAAACAAAAGAATGAACTAGGACATTAAATACAGCCTTGTTGATGACTTTGAAGAATTCGGGGGGTGAAGGAAGGGTCAGTGTTCCAGCACATTCTGAGACCTCAGCTGGCCTGCTGTGAAGGAGGGGAGGCAAAGCAATGGGCCTGTCTCCCCTCGTCCCCTGGAGGGCCCACAGTCCTGAAGTGGCCCCATGAGGGAGAGACTCGGAGCGTGGGGCTGCTCCTTCCCGTGGTACTCGGGTCAGTTTGCGGGGGGCAGCTGCCAGAGCCAGCGTCCAGCACGTGCTCACGAGGCCGCGGTGGCTCTTCTAGGTGGAGATAAAGGAGACGGGTGGCACTCCCGCCAGCGGCAGCCCGGAGGAAGTGTTTCTGAGGCAAGCCTGTAGATGAGGGAGCCCGGAAATCCTTTAGCAGAGGACTTGGAGTCCTGAAAGCCGAGGATTCTGCACCACACACGCCCAGCTCTTTGTTTCTGGAGATGAGAACCTAGCTGTAAGATTAGCATGGTGGAGAATGGCCGGTCCAGGGCCATGCAAGCTTCGCCCTACCGAGGTGACCGCGGGGAACTCAAAATTTAATAAATCTAAAGGAAGCTGATTATTATGAAAGATTTGTTTGTGTTGATTTAAAAGCCAGTTTTACAGAGAGAGGAGAGGTGAATTCATATTTCATCTCTGGCTCACTCCCCTATGACTGCAATGGCTGGGGCTGGGCCAGCCCGAAACCCAGGAGCCAGGAGCTTGTGCGGTTCTCCCATGTGGGTGTAGGGCCCAAGGGCTTGGGCCGTCCTGTACTGCTTTCCCTGACACATTAAGCTAATTTTTAAGTTGATAATCTTGTTGGCCTATGAATGATATTTAAAAAATACAAATAATCTTGGAAGAAAAAAAACGTGGCAGGTGTCAACAAGGAACTACTTGGAGATGAGTCTGCCCTGAGCTCTGGCCTGGCTGTGGTGTATGCTGGTAATCAACTGTGTGCAGTTCCACTCGGGATGGCAGGTGTGGGAGCATTCCCAGGCAGCAGGCACAGGTCAGCAGAGGGAGCGGCAGGACACCCCTGGCCTAGCAAGGGATGGCAGCACCCGCCAGGCGCAGGGCAGGGCAGGGCCACCCAGTGGCCAGAGCCCAGAGCTGCAACAGAGCAGGCCTGGAGAGCCAGCCCAGCAAGTGTGGGGCAAGTCTGGGCCCCCTAGCATGAGAGCTGAGCGTCGGGGTGACCTGAAGCCTGACCCGGGGTGCGGTGCCTGCTACTGCAGTTGTCTCGGGGTGGGGGGGGGCTCCATCTGAGTGCTGTGGGTTTCCCTCGTTGGAGTGTAAGCGTCCTGAGCCCAGAGACCGCGTCCTCTCTGGGAGAAGCCTCCACCAGCCTTCAACAGCCTCAGCACCCGGGGATGGGGAACGGCCACCCGATGTCATCCCGGGGTCCCCGAGGTGGAGCATGTTCTGAGGGTTCTGCTCAAGTGGCTTATGAGATGCTGCTGATCCAAGGATGAGGAAATCCTTCCAAGGTTGACTGGCCGACATAGTCCACCTCAGTCTCCATTTGCCTAGAAATTTGCCATCAAGCTTCACTGGAGTAGTTGATCATTGTCCTGCCTGCCTTTCTCTGCAAACCAATGGGTGCTGCAGCCTAGCCCAGCCCTGCCCACCACATGCTCAGCCCTCAAGTATACCAGGGAGAGCTATAGCCCAGTCAGAGCGACCCCCAACATCCCCCACTGGACCGGCCCCCAGCCCTGGTTCCTGTGCCTGCCAGCATGTGCAGTGGACTGGTCTGGCCTGCCCCACATCTCATTCAAATCTTGTACACATCATTGGACATTGGAGCCTAACTCAACCCAACCGACTCCACCCTGCAGCCCACACTCATGCCGGCAGGTGCCACCACCTGTCCAGCCAGGCCCACACCCAGTCCTGGTTCCCGTGCTCACCAGTGGGAACTACAGCCCATCAGAGAGGTGCCCACAGCTTCCCTACGGGCCCGCCCCCTGCCCCGGATATTGTGCTCGCCAGGCATTTTTGCAGTCTAGCTCAACAGGACTTGCCCCAGTCCCAGCTCTGATGCAGAGGCCCAGCAGGGGAGTCCTCACTGCTCCCCTTCCAGGCTCACCTCGACCCCTGGGTTGCACATGTGCTGGTGGGTGCTGTGGCCCAGTCTGGTATGTTCCATCTTACCTGGCATTTGCTGGCAGGTGCTGCAGTCTGACTCGGCCCGGTCTGCCCTCAGTCCTAGGTCACACTAGCAGGTGCTACCATCCAACCATGTGCAGTCCCAGCTCTAATGTGAGCTGGCTGCTGTTGTGGCCCAACCTGGCCTGGCCTGCACCCCGTCCTGGTTCTCAGATCTGCTGGTGGGTGTTATGAGCTGGCCCAGCCTGGCCCACCCCCAGTCCTGACCCACACATATGCCGGCAGGTACTGCTACCTGGCCTGGTCTGGGCTGCTCCTTGCCTTGGTTCTTGTGCTCACCTGCAGGGACTGAACCCTGACAGAGGAGTTCCCCACGCTGCTCTGTCGGCTCTCCTCCCAGTGGCAGATCTCACACACACCAGCAGGCCCTTGGCCCAGAATGACTTAGTCCACGTCCTGTCCTGGCAGGAACTTTGCCCTTGCAAACACCCAATCTGGTACTTACTGTTGGGTGTTAGAGTCCACACCTGATCAGCCACACCTGATCCACACCCTGACAGCGCTAGCGTGGTTCAGCAGGAACGAGACCTGGCCCAGCCCGTTTTATACCTGTTCTGGCCCTCACGAGTACCAGCAGGTACTGAAGTCTAGCCCAGTTTGATGCGTCCCAGACCCAGTTCACACCAATGCTGAGGGCCACTGTGGCCATGTCCAGCCCGGACCACCGACCCCATTCCCAATTCTTGTGCTCACCAGTGGGAAACACAACCCAGCTGGGGCGCCCCCTAAGCTCCCCAGGCAGGCCTGTTCCCAGCCCCAGATCTTGTGCATGCCAGTGGTTGCTCTGACGCAGCACAGCCTAGCCCATCCCCTGTCTGACCTCTGCCATCAGATGCTATAGCCTGGCCTGTCCCAACCCGCCCCAGTCCCAACTTTTGCCGGCCAGTGTTACAGCCTGGCCCTGCCCAGTTTGATCTCATCTCTGACTCACACAAATCAGTAGGTGTGACAGCCTCACCTGGCATGCCCCACGTTCCAGCCTGGCTCCTGTGCTTGCAAGTGAGCTAAGGTTGGCCTGACCCTGCCCGGTCCACCCGCTTCCAGAATCCACTCACACATCTGCCAGCGGGTGGAGCTACCCTGCTCGGTCTGTTGGTTCTTGTGCTCACCTGACAAAGGAGTTCTCCAAGCTTCTCTTGCTTACTAGTGGGGCCAATGGCCCACCAGGTGAACGGCCCAAGTTGCCCCACCAAACCCAGATCTCGCATGTACCAACGGGTTCTAGGCCATTACTGGTCACAGACTACCCTCTTTGTCCCAGCTTGTGTATGAATGGTAGATGTCATGGCCCGACCCACCACCGTATTTCATGTGT